TTTTTTTTTTTTTTTTTTTTTTTTTTTTTTTTCAGTGCATCTTTCAGTCTCTTTTTCAGAAATCAGTCTGAGCCGCGAAAGTTGGTTCAACAGTGAGCATTCGCACTTTTACGAATTTTTAGAAAACCGCAAGTGACTGCTATTTTACGAAGTGTGCCAATCATAATGGAGGAAAAAGTTTTTAAGGTGGAAGGGCAAGATTTCAAAAACAGGGGGCGAATTTTCTTGGATTTCACAATTTCCTCTTTTTCCTGACGCTTTCAGGTTTCCGGACATTCCGACTTTTAAAAGTGCTTAGTGAACGACACGCAATAATAATTGTTACAGGGTGATCCAGGGTTAAACGACCAGACTGCAGGAGCTGAAACACCCCCAAATCCCCTCTCTAGATTGAGATTTTGATAATTTTAGATCATTCATGAATTCAGGGCATAAAACTAGAAGTACAGGAGAACACACATTTTCGTGAGATTCGGTTCACAACCGTTGCCAAAATTCAGGGAAAACTATTTATTTTCCGAAATTTTGGGGGAGCCGTAGCTCCGACTGGGGGCACTTTTGGGAAAAAACTTTTTGCAACAAAAAGTTTTATTTTGACCCATGGAACACGCTCCTGCAGTCTGGCCGTTTGGGATCGTCTGGATCACCCTGTGTACATGAAGGCGGATGCCGTGGGATTTACATGTTCGTCGTTTCGAAGGAGCTTCTTGCGCATACCTCGCATATATGTTTTGAATACTCTGACTCTAAGGCTTTGTCTTAAGTCTGATTGGGTATAAAGCTTAAATTCGCTCCTTGTCTAAAGATCCATTCCCTGACTTTCCCCTGTCTCGATGTCATTACCAGACGATTCCCGAGTTTCCAGACCTGTAGCCTCCATGTGAATAGTTTACCGGATGATATTAAACAGCATCCGTACGAACATACGGCGTTTGCACTTAGCACCAACGACGCAAGGCGACCGTTCGTCTTGACAAAAGTTCGAGGGAGCTACGCTACCGCACTAAGGAAAAACGCCGCATGAAAATTCGAGAGTTGCCAAAGTTTTTCCGAACAGAGAAGGGGTTATTTTGGAGTCATGAATAGTTCCTCTTCACTGGAAAAAAGTAGCTTGGATGTAGACTCCAGACTTTTGAAAACATCGACAAGAAAAAATAATATTCGTTCAATCGGATTTTTGCTTACATCAAAAGGAAATCAGCTTAAATTAAGAGGCCTCGCTCCTCGATTCAAGGAAAAATCCGATTGAATCAAGAGTATTTTTTCTTGTCAATGTTATTAAGAGTCTGGACTCTAGATACAAGCTACTAATTTTTCCAGTGTTGAAATTTCAGATAATTCAGATCCAGGGTGTCTACTAAAACTGGCTGGCAAATATGAAGTACTTTTTACTCACTTTTTCGGTATCTTCCAAAAAAACTCAGTACCTCCTAATCAAAAAAATTCAGTGGTTTTTCGATATCTTGAAAGGCCGAAAATCGAAAAATGTCGAAATTCACGCGCAAATCGCGAGCAACATGACGTAGCCAGGAAATTCGAAGTTCATTGATGGCCTGAGGATCAACTGGCTGCACAATCGCAATCTAGGGGGGAAATACGGCGCTATTTTTCAGGCTGCTTTAAAAAACACGTGGCATGAAACAAAAAATCCCGGACACTTATAGCGAATTCCCGTGCTTTTTTAGGGCTGCCCCAGAATTTCGAAAATGAAATTCACTGACATTTCCCCGATTGCCTTGACACATTTTAGTGAAATTCCCTGACAATTGTAGATATGACAGAATTGACAGACGGTTAAGAAGACAAAATTGAGAATAGTTTTCAGGCAAAATGTGTCGTTAAAAACCTCAAACTAATCCTAGAAAGCAATTAAAGGTGATTTGACAAACTTTCCCTGACAGTCTCAGGTTTTTCCTGATTTTTTTTTTAAATTCCCTGACATTTCCCAGTATTCTCTGACTAGGGCAACCCTGTTTTCCAGTGCTTCCGGACCGCTTTAAAATAATTAGTACCATTCCCGGACTTTCCGGGCCAGTAGACACCCCTAGAGGCGGATCCAGGAATTTGGCAACACCGGATTTTCTCCATTTAGACCTATGCTAAATAATCGATTCTTGTCGGAGCTTTTGGCCCCTCCAAGAATCCATACATTTCCATAGGTTTAAATGGAGGAAATCCGGTGTTGCCAAGTTGCTGGATCCGCCAATGGACACCCCGAGATCTGATGACGAAGAATATTCACTTGAAAAATTGGAAGAAAAATACTCACAGAGATTTTCTCTGAAAACGCACATTTTATCAAGAGAAATTTGGCAACGTCCGAAGGCTAATAGGGCGTTTTTCCTTAGGACGGGAGTAGGGATAGGTGGCCTGGAAGTCGACGAGGCGCTGGAAACTGTCAAAATCCTGGGTGCACAAGCACAAGCACACGAGCTCCAAGTTGGGCATTGTATAATGGGGTGTCGCGGGGGAACAAGACGTCAAAAAGGCAGACCCGGACAAAGGCGGAACGGGGAACGTTAGAATCGAAGTTTGCGGGGAGTTGGGTTATTGGGCAACTTCAACTTCGACTCCGGGTGCGGGTGCCATTCCGACGCGCGGAACCACATAAAGCACTCGTCGCGGGCCGCAACTTCGTGTTCCTATCACTTAATTTATGGCGCCCCGAGGTGAGGTTGCCGCATCCTCCCAGGCTAGCTTTAAGCTTCCGGGATTCGCAACTTTTTTCTTCCGACTTCTCCCACTCCATAACCGTCAGAAGTTCCGGGAATCCTTTCAGATTTTTTCAAAAGTTCCGAAAAATGCAAAAGATCCGGAGTAGAGTTGCTACAGAATTTAGAAGATGAAATTTCCTGACATTTTCCTGATTTCCCTGACACATTTTGGTGAAATTCCCTGACATAGAATATACGCCAGGTGATTACCATGACATTATTAGAAATAGTTTGTAGGCAGAATTTGTTGTTCAAAACGTCGAATCCATTCTAGACAGCAAATAATGGTCTAGCTCCCTACAATTTTTCCCTAACATTTTCGTAATTTTCCCTGACTTCTTGAAATTCCCTGACATTTCCCGGTATTTCCTGACAGTGGCAACTCTGCCGGAACATTTCGGAAATTTCAAAAGTTCTGGGGAAAATTTAGGAAAATCTCAACATTTCCGGAATTCTGAACTAGTTCCGGAACTGGGAGCACTATGAAGGTTTACCTCAAGTTTCCAACCCTTCACTATTTATTCCCGACTCATTCATCTGATTTTATCCAGTTTTCAATTTTTCCACGATTTTTAATTCTTTGTGCATTTTTCAGTTCTTACAAACTTAGAATTGCAATAATTTCTTCATCTTTAAACTCCCTGATGTTTGCTTCTCCTCGGCTCTAAAATTTTCTAATTCTCTGACTTTCCCTGACCCCCGAACTCTTTTTAATTTTTACTTCATTTCTTTATTTTTATTTTTAAAGACTCTAACTTTTGCTAAACGTTGGGCAAAAATTCTTTGTTTAGGAATCGAATTATGAAAAAGGGATTCCGTAGCTGGTTGAAAGATGACAAGCCTTCAGAATGACAAGATTGGGTAAACAGTTAAAAGATCAGTGGTATGTTTCAGTGATAAGCAGATGTGTCAGAAATCCCCTGACTTTTCCCGGACCACCGGCATCCGGCAACCCTGCGATTTGGGCAATTTTGGAATTTTTAAATTTTTACACATCCCTCATTTTGTTTTAATTTTTCCATTGGTGTATCTTGTGATCTTTCAATTTATATGGTATTTCTATTTATTCTTATTAAAATGCAAAATTATCTCCCTCCAATCATCCATAATTTAAGCTCCGATGATCCAAAAGTAATTACCAAAATTTCAAAGCTGTTTAAGCGAGTAAATTTAAAAATTTACGGTGAATTCCTAGTTCCCGACGTACATAGCCTAATTGCTGGTCGTTGTAATAAATTATCTAAAATGAACTATCTTGTGAACCCAACTCTCGATTTTGATTAATTTATCAAGGTCCAAAAACTTATTTTAATTAAGAAGACCTTCTGTGAATACGCGGCATTTCATCGTTAATTACAGTATATAGGAG